CATATCTTCTAACATTCTGCTAAAACTTTGTAACAGTAACTGCTTGGACCTTGAAGAAGGGGACACTCCCCAAAAGCTTGTCCTCAAAATTGTATGTTAGTGCAAAAATAAAGTATCACGGACAGTACTGAATTGTTTTTGTATTTAACCATAAAATCTTTTTCTTGGAGGCTATTGAGGAACACAGGAATTGAGATATGGTTGGGTATATTGCCACCTATAGGAGAATTGGTCACCCGGCAAACAGTTTAACTGTATTCAGATACAGTCAGGATGTACAAAAGCAATCCAACTGAGGGGTAGGAAACAAAGAAAAAAAAAGAGAAAAAAACAAAAACTATGTGCCTCACTAGGAGGACTGGGGACCACCTGCAGCAAATGAGTGATCTGAAGGACCAACGTTGGAAACTGATTATATGAAGTGGAACCCCATACCAGATAAGGGAATCTATCAACACATCTCAAAGAGAGAGCACAGAGAATCAAGTTGATGCTGCAGACTAGGACAGAGCAGGCCAGCACCAGAGAGGAATGACTAAACACAGAAGGGATCACTAGGCCTAAGACAGCGAGAAGCTGATCAACCAGAACAGGTGTAACTAACCACAAATTCACAAACAGAGAAGAAAGGACCCACAACCTGATATGGCCAGCAGAAAAGACACTGAGGGGACAATCCCTAGATGGAACAGGTTCTAAGAGGGAACCTAGTATGAAAAGCAGGCCCAGACAAGAAAGACTACATAGAAAGGCCTACAGCCTCACACTCCTAACACTAGGGTTATAGTTACATAGTCTGGCTGAAAAAAGACAAATGTCTATCCAGTTCAACCATAAAAAAAAAGTTATAATCCTACACCCACAGTTGATCCAGAGGAAGGCAAAAAACCCAGCAAAGCATGATACAATTTGCTCCCGCCCTGCATGGGGAGGAAATACCTTCCTGATTCCCCAAGAGGCAATTGGATATTCCCTGGATCAACTTTACCTATAAATGTTATTAACCAGTTATATTCTGTGTATCCAAGAAAGAATCCAGACCTTTTTTAAAGCAATCCATTGAGCTGGCCAGAATCAATTCTTTAGGGAGTCTATTCCACATTCTCACAGCTCTTACTGTGCAGAAACCTTTCTATATTTGGAGATTAAATTTCTTTTCCTCCAGCCGTAAAGAGTGCCCCCTTATCCTCTGTGATGACCTCTATGGTGAATAACTCTACACCGAGTTCACTATATATGAACCACTGATGTAGTTATACATGTTGATCATATCCCCCCCTTAATCTCCTCTTCTCAAGAGAAAATAAATTCAGTTCCTCTAATTTTTCCTCATAGCTGAGCTCCTCCATGCCTCTTATCAGTTTGATTGTCCTTCTTTGTACTTTCTCCAGTTCCCCAATGTTCTTTTTGTGAATTGGTGCCCAAAACTGAACGGCATATTCCAGATGAGGTCTTACTAATGATTTTGTACAGGGGTAAAATGATATCTCTCTCTCTGGAGTTTATACCTCTTAATACGAGAGGATTTTGCTAGCTTTAGAAACCGCAGTTTGGCATTGCATGCCATTATTAAGCTTGTGACGTACCAGAACTCCCAGATCCTTCTCCACTATTGACTCTCCCAGTTGTACCCCCCCCCCCCGGTATGTATGATGCATGCATATTCTTAGCCCCCAAGTGCATAACTTTACATTTTTCAACATTAAACCTCATTTCCCACGTAGCTGTCCAATTAAACAATGCACTGAGGTCAGCTAGTAAGTTGGAGACATCCTGTAAAGATGTTATTCCACTGCACAGCTTGATGTCATCTGCAAAGACTGAAATTGTATTTTTAATCCCAGACCCTATATCATTTATAAATATATTAAAAAGTAAAGGGTCCCCACACTGAACCTTGGGGTACACCACTAACAAACCTAGACCATTCAAAGTATGAATCATTAACCACTACTCTCTGTATACGAGCCAGTTTTCTTACCATTTACATACAGATGTTTCCAAGCCTGTAGACTTTTACCTTACACATTAGCCGTGTGTGGGGAACTGTGTCAAATGCTTTTGCGAAATCCAAGTATAACACGTCCACCACCATCCCTCTGTACAAAGTTTTGCTCACCTCCTCATAAAAAGAAATCAGATTTGTTTGACAGCTTCTGTCTTTCATGAATCCATGCTGTCTGTTGCTTAAAAATATTTTTTTCCAAGGACTGATCTGTGGTCTTTTATTAAACTTTCCAGTATCTTCCCAACTACGGAAGTTAACCAAACAGGTCTATAATTATTTGGTAAAGATTTTTACCCCCTTTTTAAATATAGGTACCACATTGGCCTTATGCCAATCCAGTGGTACTATGTCAGTCATTAAAGAGTCCCTAAAAATTAGAAGGGTCAAGGGGATAGAAACCATTAACTAAAGGGGATTGCCTAACCATATAACCAGTTGTGCTAACTGCACAACAGATAATGTACAGTATTAGTACAACTTAATAGCCCACACGAGCATGAGGTGACTCCTGTGACCATTAGAACTAAAGAGTCTTCATGCCAGAAAAAGGTAGGGGCATGGGTCCAAACCCATGAGGGTAGACAGAAATGGAAGGTAGACCACAGCCCCTAACTGGTCAGATAGGAAGCACCAAATTGCACCGAAGATGAAAGTAGAACATCTTCTGACACCCCAAAGTGATGCTGGGGCCTGAAGAAGAATGCTGCAAAGCTTGCCTAATTCCAACCCTAGCAGTAAGTCTAAGAAGCTCCTGATCCCCCCCCCCCCCACACACACACACACACACACACACACACACACAGAGGTACTGCAAAGTACAGGAATCTTACCCAAAATGCCGAGAGCATGAAGAACAGCAGGACAAAGGGAGGTATAGTTTTTTTTTGGTGGATGGAATACCCCCTAATTAAGAGGAGTCAACACATGAATGAATGACAATAGCTGTAGCAAGGGTGGGATAGAGAATGATCAGCTCTGCTGCTTGCTTATCAACCCAATATGCACTTATATACTTCTGAGTGATGGTGGAAGGTCAATGGAACAGTTCCCCCACTGACTGACATATGCAAGGTTGATATGCATGTGCATAAATGCCTGATGGAAGGATGAGTACATCCTGTTGACATATAAAAATGCTTTTCCCAGATCCAGCATCAGAATATCTAAAGGCAGTATTACCACTACCTGGGACTTTGATAAATAATATGCAGGTTTAAGTACATTCTATGGGGATATAAGACTAAGGCAAGCCATAGATGATTCAATTTTATTTCCTGCAACTAGAAATTGCTCGATTCCCCCATTAACACAGTCAATGTTAATGGGAAAATCCCTCCTGCAGCGCTAATGATGATAATGGTGACCCCAAATAATGATAATTGATTAGACTTCACTCCTGGATTTGCCGGATAAGTCACACCTTGCTTGAGAAGGTGAACATCCCTAACGGGACACAGAGAGCAATACAAGTTGACAGGTGTTCTAATCCATCACCACTCGTTCCAAAACTAAAAAAAAGTTTTGCCTTTAGTTATACTTTAAAAGTAGTGGGGGATCTAAAGTTGGTTGGGAAGTTATTTCCCAAGGCAAAGTCTTTGGCAATATGAGTTGATTACTGTACCAAACTTACTGCTAAAGTTTTTCCTGTTTGCACATCGCATCAAAGCTTTTTTCTTCTTTGATATGAGTAATAAACATTTTTTTTGTATTCCTGAATATTACCAGTATACTTATTTTCTGACATTTTTACCAGTTCCTGGCATTTTTCTTATACATAGTTCTTTTTGGTAGATAGAGTACCCTCCTAATTAAAGGGAGTCAACACAAGCAGATCTTAGGATATTTTTATGGATTATTATGTTTAAGTTTATTTAAGAAGAAAACCAATTCCCAGGTGAAAGGTCCCATTATGTTCTCCAGACATACTCTATACCCAGTGGAGAGTTAGAGTGTTCTGTGTACTGACAATCCAAGAAAGCACAGGGCCCACCAGCCTGCTGCAATAGGATTTGAGGTGCACCCAGCTGCACAAACCTTGCTTTTGGTGCAAAAGCTGGTTGTTAAGCGTTTAGTTTCCTAGGCATTATCTTTAGGAAGGTCAATACAAACAAGTCTAATATTCTCAGCATCATCTAGTATAGGGGCAAGCCAAATTTTCCTGTTGTAGGGGAGACTTCAACTCCTTCCCAGAGGCAAAGGCACTGCAACATCTGAATGGTGTTCAACAGAGTCTGATGCAGGAAACTTGGCCAAGGCCCTATACCCCAATGAGGAGGGAACTATTTGTTCACAACCCAGTTATGGGGAAAATAAATTATCCCAGATGTCTGAAGAGGCTGAAAGTTATGGCACAGATGACTTGGTCTGCAGAGACAGGTCCATAAGGCCTACTTATAACCTGGGCCACCACCACAGATAGGGGGAGCTGAAAGGAACAAAGAAAAACATAGGAAAGAAGGAGGCCATCCTGAGGGGTGTTCCCCAGTGCTCTAACACCTCCTTTGATAGAGGAGAAACATTTGTCTCTGTGCGTGGATGTATGTGTGTGTATATATATATATATATATACATATATACATATATATATACACACACACACAGTTGTGCTCAAAAGTTTTTGAATACCCTTGCAGAAATTGTGAAAATGTTGGCATTGATATTGAAAGTATGACTGATCATGCCAAAAAATGCTCTTTTATTGAAGCATGATGATCATATGAAGCCATTTATTATCAAATAGTAGTTGTTGGCTCCTTTTTAAATCATAATGATAACAGAAATCACTCAAATGGCCATGAGCAAAAGTTAACATACCCTGGAATGTTTGGCCTTGGTACAGACACACAAGGTGACACACACGGGTTAAAATGCCAATTAGAGGTTAATGTCCCACATCTGTGGCTTTTTAAATTGCAATTAGTGCCAGTGTATAAATAGTCAATGAATTTGTTAGCTCTTATGTGGAAGCACTGACTAGGCTAGATACTGAGCCATGGGGATCAGAAAAGAACTGTCAAAAGTCCTGCGAAACAAGGTAATGGGACTTTATAAAGATGGAAAAGGACATAATAAGATGTCCAAAGCCTTGAATATGCCAATCAGTACTGTTATAGCTAGAGATGAGCGAATCGAACATGACGAAGTGGAATTCGTTCCGAAGATTTGGAAAAATTCTATTCGCGGACGAATCTGAAGATTAGCAAACTTCGGATGCACGAATCGAATTTTCCCAAAAATTGGCGGCGACATGTGTGGCGACAAGAGAAAATGGACAGAGAAGATGGGGCGGGGGGATCTTGGAAGGCGCGCAGACAAGGCGCGCTGACCCATAATGCATTCATGAGTCATGAATCATGACATGTGATCGCATTAGCCAATCAGCAGCCAGCCAGCCAGCACTGTGTAATGGTGGAGCTATAAATCGCGGCCATCTTAGAATTCTCCATTAGCCTCCGGTCATTCAAGAGAGACAGACCTCTGTGTATTGAGGGGACAGAGTTAGGGCCACAGAAAAACTTTAGGGCCACAGAATCGTTACTCAGGGACACAGAATTGTTACTCAGGGACACAGAATTGTTACTCAGGGACACAGAATCGTTACTCAGGGACACAGAATCGTTACTCAGGGACACAGAATTGTTACTCAGGGACACAGAATCGTTACTCAGGGGACACAGAATCGTTACTTAGGGCCACAGCTATCAAAGAATCAAAAATTTAAAGTGACATACACCACTTTTTTTTTTTGGTGGCTGTCGTGCACAGTTGGTGCTGCAGTTTGCCGATTGTGTACAATAAACTGACTTTCTGCTTCACAACCACTATTGTACATTCAAAGAGTTAAATCCATTTACACGCACGGCTGGCGGTAATATATTTTTTGGGTGATTAGTGCATTCCAGTGACAGAAACGTACAGTTTCTAGCCAACGGCAAGCTGCAATTGACCGATTGTGTACAATAAACTGACTTTCTGCTTCACAACCACTATTGTACGTTCAAAGAGTTAGATCCATTTACACGCCGGCTGGCGGTAATATTTTTTGGGTGATTAGTGCATTCCAGTGACATAAACGTACAGTTTTCCAGCCAACGGCAAGCTGCAATTGACCGATTGTGCTAAATAAACTGACTTTCTGCTTCACAACCACTATTGTACGTTCAAAGAGTTAGATCCATTTACACGCCGGGGGACGGTAATATTTTTTTGGGTGATTAGTGCATTCCAGTGACAGAAACGTACAGTTTCCAGCCAACGGCAAGCTGTAAGTTGACCGATTGTGCTAAATAAACTGACTTTCTGCTTCACAACCACTATTGTATGTTCAAAGAGTTAGATCCATTTACACGCCGGGTGGCGGTAATATTTTTTGGGTGATTAGTGCATTCCAGTGAAATAAACGTACAGTTTCCAGCCAACGGCAAGCTGCAATTGACCGATTGTGCTAAATAAACTGACTTTCTGCTTCACAAACCACTATTGTACATTCTAAAAGAGTTAGATCCATTTACACGCTGGGTGGCGGTAATATTTTTTGGGTGATTAGTGCATTCCAAGTGACAGAAACGTACAGTTTCCAGCCAACGGCAAGCTGCAATTGACCGATTGTGCTAAATAAACTGACTTTCTGCTTCACAACCACTATTGTTACGTTCAAAGAGTTAGATCCATTTTACACGCCGGTGGCGGTAATATTTTTTGGGTGATTAGTGCATTCCAGTGACAGAAACGTACAGTTTCCAGCCAAACGGCAAGCTGCAATTGACCGATTGTGCTAAATAAACTGACTTTCTGCTTCACAACCACTATTGTACGTTCAAAGAGGTAAATCCATTTACACGCCGGCTGGCGGTAATATTTTTTGGGTGATTAGTGCATTCCAGTGACAGAAACGTACAGTTTCCAGCAAACGGCAAGCTGCAATTGACCGATTGTGCTAAATAAACTGACTTTCTGCTTCACAACCACTATTGTACGTTCAAAGAGTTAGATCCATTTACACGCCGGGTGGCGGTAATATTTTTTGGGTTGATTAGTGCATTCCAGTGACATAAACGTACAGTTTTCCAGCCAACGGCAAGCTGCAATTGACCGATTGTGCTAAATAAACTGACTTTCTGCTTCACAACCACTATTGTACGTTCAAAGAGTTAGATCCATTTACACGCCGGCTGGCGGTAATATTTTTTTGGGTGATTAGTGCATTCCAGTGACAGAAACATACAGTTTCCAGCCAACGGCAGCTGCAATTGACCGATTGTGTACAATAAACTGACTTTCGGCTTCACAACCACTATTGTAACGTTCAAAGAGTTAGATCCATTTACACGCCGGGTGGCGGTAATATTTTTTGGGTGATTTAGTGCATTCCAGTGACATAAACGTACAGTTTTCCAGCCAACGGCAAGCTGCAATTGACCGATTGTGCTAAATAAACTGACTTTCTGCTTCAAACCACTATTGTACGTTCAAAGAGTTAAATCCGGTTTATTTTTGGGGTGCTTATGAATTAAAAGAGTATGTCAGACAACACGCTTAGGGAGTGGCAGAGGAGGCAAAGGGTGTTTCAGGAGCGAGCAGACGTGGCAGCAGAGGAAGGGGTCGAGGCAGCACTAGTCGCAGCCAGAGGCCAGTGCTCCCGGTGTCATCCAGCGGTCGTGTCTCCACCGACAACCCTGCCGTCATCGATTGGTTGACTCGGTCGTTCTTCCTCTTCCCAGGTCACCTCTGACCCTACAGCCAACGGTCGGTGGGTACGTCAGACACAACCGTTAGTTGGCATGGCCCGGGAGCAAGCCCACTGAAATCACCTGTCCTCGACCTGCCCCTGTCCTTTGGTGTTCCCTCACCAAGCGAAGTATCGCATGCTGTGGGCTCAGCCCCACTGTACATTTGAGGAAGAGGCTAACAGAGGGCGGTCAGGAACGGGGGGAGACATCCGCCACTTCAGCAGCCAGGCGAAGAAGTACTGGCGAGGAGAGTGGCTCGGTAGCCGGTCTAGAGACTCAGGTCTGTCTCCTGACCCACACGCAGCCGAGGGGGCTAGTAGTGACGCGGGAGACCCTAATTGATGATGATGATCATCAGGGCTATTGCTTCCGCATCATCAGGAGAAGAGGGTGCCAGCTTGCCAGCGGGCAAAACAGTCGGTGGGTTGCCAGGAGGCAGCAGGGTCGCAGCAGTGTCAGTGGAGCCAAACGGCCACGGAGTAGAGCACCAGCTCCACTGCAGCCTACCACCACGGCCAGTAGTGGTGCCGGTGTGTACGGAGGAAGTAGCAGTCAGCCAGTGAGGAGTAGTAGGGGGCAAAGTTTCCTACTCGGCGGTGTGGGCAATTTTTCGTCAAGCCGCCCGAGGAAGTAAACGTAGCCGTATGTCGACTATGTGGCCAGAAAGTCAATGTTGGGACTACAGCGTTGCTCAGCATATGCAGCGTCGCCATTCGGTGGCCTGGGAAAAAAACCGTGATAAAGATATGGCGGTTCTGCCTGTACCCCAGCTCCATCACCCGCTCCGTTACTTGCTCCGTCACCCGACGTCAATCGCCCTCTATCAGCCAGTCAAGGCTCTAACACCTCTGCTGAGGGGAGTTGTCGCTCGTTGGCATCTTCCCTCGTTCAGATGCTCCTTCTCCTGCTACTCCTCTTCACGGATTCCGTCAGCAGTCTTTCTTGGAATCCGTTTCCAAGAGACAACAGTTTGCGAGCACGCACCCGACGGTGCAGAAGCTGAACGTCCTCCTGGTCCAAGTTGCTGGTGCTGCAGTCCCTCCCTTTCCAAGTGGTGGATCTGCACCTTTCCGAGAAATGATGGCTTGTGCCGAGTCGCGGTGGAGAGTGCCAAACCGGCATTTCTTCGCCAAAAAGGCAGTTCCAGCCCTGGCATTCACATGTAGAATAGATGGTGGGCCAGTCTTTGAGCATGTCGGTCTCTGCCAAAGTGCACGGCAGCGCCGACGTGTGGAGCTGTAAACTACGGTCAGGGACAGTACATGTCATTTACGGCCCACTGGGTGAACGTGGTGCCAGCACAGCCGCACCAGCAACTTGGACAGGTCACGCCGCTTTTGCCTCCACGTTTGCACGTCCTTGGTCCAGCAAAAGATGTCCGCCTCTACCACCTCTTCTTCCGCCGTGTCCTCAGCCGCCACCCCCCGTGCCAAGTCCCATTACCCGACCGGCATATCACATGTGCAGGGCGCAACGGTGTCACGCTGTGCTGCACCTGGTATGCCTTGGCGAACGTAGTCACACAGGGGAGGAACTTCTGAGTGTAATGAACAGAGAAATCGATGGCTGATGGCTGTCTCCGCGCAAACTGAAAATCGGAACCATGTTGACCGACAACGGAAAGAACATGGTGTTGCTCTGCGTCAAGGAAGGTTGTGCCATGCGCCATGCATGGCTCACGTGTTCAATCTGGTTGTCAAGCGTTTCCTAAAATCCACCATCCCACTGCAAGACATCCTTAAAATGTCACGTAAACTTTGCATGCATTTCAGCCATTCCTACACCGCAAAGCACACCCTCCTTGAGCTGCAGCGGCAGAACGGAATTCCACAGCATCGGCTGATCTGCGACGTTGCAACAAGGTGGAATTCAACCCTACATATGTTAGACCGCCTTTACGAACAGCGAAAGGCCATCACCGATTTCCTGATGTTACAAGCGGATAAAGGTACTCCCCTGTGTAACTTAGATGTCAGCCATTGGCAGCTCATGCGTGACACCTGCCGCTTGCTCAGGCCCTTTGAGGAGGCCACGCTATTCGTGAGTCGGCAGGACTATGGGCATGAACGACGTCATTCCTCTGTGCACGTCCTGGAACAAATGCTGTTAACCAATGGCTGGTCAGGGTGCGGTAGACGTGGCGCACAGATCTCAACGCCACATGACCCTGTGGGGGCAGGACAGGAAGAAGAGGAGGAGGTAGAGGAGGACATTGGTGCTCAGGAATTATTGAGTGAAATGGGTGGTTTTTCACTCAGCGGACAGGAGTGGAGCAGGAGCAGGAGCATCTGGTAGAGGAGGAGGAGGAGACAGAGGACCCAGACGCACCGTGGCAGTATGCTGTGGAGATGGAGGCAGGGAGTCCCTCGCATTCCTTGGCACAAAAAAAGGGGGGGGAGAAAGGGCCCATAGCATAGCATGTTCGGTTGCTTGCGTAGCGACAGCCGAATAATAACCATCAGGACAGAGGGATGACTTTTGGCTGTCCACCTTGTTGGACCCTCGCTTACCGTTCAAAAATGGTGGCCTTTTTTCACCTGCTGAGAGGGAGGCCAAAATAAAGTACTATAAAAACCACCTATGTAGTCAGTTGGTCTCTGCCTTTCTGCGCCAACGTCCATCCTCAGACACTGTGGGCCCTGTGCGCTCGCGTTCCGCTGCCATGGCAGCAGGGGAGGGGTGGGGTGGTAGGAGCAGTGGCAGCTCCACCAGCAACGGCTGCCTCAGTCTGCAGTCGATGATGAGTAGCTTTCTTCACAGCGCAGTGAGGAAACTACTAACCAGCCGCAGCAGCAGCAGCATCAGGTGGACCTGGAGCAGGACCTCAAACAACAGGCTTGGGCCTACTTGGACAGCACCCTGCCAACCGAGGTAGACAATCCCCTTGACTACTGGGCAACGAAACTTGACCTTTGGCCCCAACTAGCTGAATTTGCCCTTGAAAGGCTGTCATGCCCGGCCAGTAGCGTGGCATCGGAGCGCGTGTTTAGTGCGGCAGGAGGTATTGTAACTCCGCGGAGGACACGACTGTCCACCCAAAAAGTGTGGAGAGGACTCACGTTTGTAAAAATGAATCAGGCGTGGATTAGTCTGGATTTCAAACCACCAGTTCCTGACACAACTGACCTAATAACCTAGCCGTTCAGGCCGCTCCCTGAACACCTCGGGAATTGCTTTGTATATCTGTCGCCTTAGAGGCCGCTGTCTGAACAGCTCATGAATTGCTTTCTATATGTGTCGCCTTTGAGGCCGCTGGCTGGACAGCTGATGAATTGATTTGTATAAATGTCACCTTTTGTCCGCTGTCCGGACAGCTCATGAATTACTTTTTGTATAGAGATTAGCCTTCCAAACCACTCTCAGAATAAGTCATGATATTCATGCTGTGTATAGCCTTATAGGCCAATGGTCAATCAAGTCATGATTGTTATAGTGTGTATAGCCTTATAGGCCGCTGTCTTTACAACTTTATAATTCCATGCAGTATATAGCCCTATCGGCCACTTTCTGCAGGCATCCAGTTGCTGTAGCCCCCCCCACCACCACACTGTGCCACGGGCCCCTGTACCGCCTTCTCATACTGCTGCCAGATCCAATGCTCTGCATGTGTGTCTTTGTCGTCTGCTCACGCTGCTGGGTTCCAGTTTTAAACCTAGGCCTGTGTATGGCTTCCGAATACTGCTGCCTCCACCGCCACCTGCGCCATGTGCCTCTGTTCGTCTGCTCACGCTGCTGACGGCTTCCGCTTTTTAACCGAGGCCTGTGTTTGGCTTCCGAATACTGCTGCATCCACCGCCACCCTGCGCCATTGTGTCTCTGTCGTCTGCTCACGCTGCTGACGGCTTCCGCTTTTTAACCTAGGCCTGTGTATTGCTTCCCGAATTACTGCTGCCTCCACCGCCACCCTGCGCCATGTGCCTCTGTCGTCTGCTCACGCTGCTGACGGCTTCCGCTTTTTAACCGAGGCCTGTGTTTGGCTTCCGAATACTGCTGCATCCACCGCCACCCTGCGCCATGTGTCTCTGTCGTCTGCTCACGCTGCTGACGGCTTCCGCTTTTTAACCTAGGCCTGTGTATGGCTTCCGAATACTGCTCCCTCCCACCGCCACCCTGCGCCATGTGCCACTTTCAGGTCTCCTTACACTGTTGGTGGGTTCCATTTTGTGATAGGGTGCTGTATGGCCTTCCATTGCTGCTGCCTCCACCGCCACCCCTGCGCCATGTGCCTCTGTCGTCTGCTCACGCTGCTGACGGCTTCCGCTTTTTAACCGAGGCCTGTGTTTGGCTTCCGAATACTGCTGCATCCACCGCCACCCTGCGCCATGTGTCTCTGTCGTCTGCTCAACGCTGCTGACGGCTTCCGCTTTTTAACCTAGGCCTGTGTATGGCTTCCGAATACTGCTGCCTCCACCGCCACCCTGGTACGCCATGTGCCTTTGCCACTTTCAGGTCTCCTTACACTGTTGGTGGGTTCCATTTTGTGATAGGGTGCTGTATGGCCTTCCATTGCTGCTGCCTCCACCGCCACCCTGCGCCATGTGCCTCTGTCCGTCTGCTCATGCTGCTGACGGCTATCGCGGCTTCCCCGCTTTTTTACCGAGGCCTGTGTTTGGCTTCCGAATACTGCTGCATCCCCACCGCCACCCTGCGCCATGTGTCTCTGTCGTCTACTCACGCTGCTGACGGCTTCCGCTTTTTAACCTAGGCCTGTGTATGGCTTCCGAATACTGCTGCCTCCACCGCCACCCTGCGCCATGTGCCTCTGTCGTCTGCCCTCACGCTGCTGACGGCCCCTTCCACTTTTTAAACTAGTCCTGTGTATGTCTTCCAAATACTGCTGCCTCCACCGCCACCCTGCGCCATGTGCCACTTTCAGGTCTCCTTACACTGTTTGGTGGGTTCATTTTTGTGATAGGGTGCTGTAATGGCCTTCCATTGCTGCTTGCCTCCACCGCCACCCTGCGCCCTTGTGCCTCTGTCGTCCTGCTCACTCTGCTGCTGACGGCTTCCGCTCTTTTAAAACCGGACGCTCGGCCTGTGTTTGGCTTCCGAATACTGCTGCATCCACCCCCACCCTGCGCCATGTGTCTCTGTCACCTGCTCACGCTGCTGCTACGGGCTTCCTTTCGCTTTTAACCTAGGCCTGTGTATTGGCCTTCAATTGAAGCTGCTTCTGCTCCGCCACTCTGCCATTGGACTCTTGATAGTCGTCTCCCCACGCTGCTGCTGGGGGGACTTTTTAACATAGGCGCCTCTGTATGGCCTTCAATTTTAGCTGCTTACGCTCCGCCACTCTGCCATGGGCCCCTGTACCGCCTCCTCATGCTGCTGCCAGGCCCGTAATCTGCCATGGGCCCCGTACCGACTCCTCATGCTGCTGCCAGGTCCAGGAAGAGTGTGTCATAGGGTGCTGTATGGCCTCCCATTGCTGCTGCCTCCACCGCCACACTGTGGCTCCACCACTCTGGTTTTGGCCCCCCGTGACTGCCCAAATGAGTGAAGTGTGCGGTGATTCTAAGGATCGACGGCACTCATCTGCATGTCATACTGACTGACAGTATTATTTTCTCTTCCCCAGCAGACTCCAAGGGCATTTAAAATTAAAGGTACAGTGTTCTGCACTAATATAAAGGCTCTCTGAAGCCTAGAAAACACCCTTTTTATAAGTTAAATTCGCAGCGCGAATATATTCGGCACAAAGCGAATTTAATCGGCGAATCAGCCGAACCGAATTTTTGAATAATTCGCCATCAATCTCTAGTTATAGCCAAGGTCAGGTAGACCAAGAAAGATTACAGCCATAACTGCCAGAATTGTTCGGGATACAAAGGGAAACCCATAGGTAACCGCAAGAAAAATACAGGCTGCTCTGGAAAAAGACAGTGTGGTTGTTTTGAAGGAGCACAATATGATGACACTTGAATAAAAATGAGATGCATGGTCAAGGTGCCAGAAAGAAGCCTTTACTGCATCAATGACACAAAAAGGCCTGGTTAGGCATGTCAAGGTGTTGTCAGGGCAAGGTATTGTAACTGGCTTTTTTGTGGCATTGGTGCAGTAAAAGCTTTTTTCTGGCACCTCAACCAAACAGGTAATTTTTGTTCAAATATCACCATATTGTACTCCTTAAAAACAACCACACCATCTTTTTCCAGAGCAACCGGTATTTCTTTTGAGGTTACCTGTGGGTTTTTCTTTGAATCCTGGACAATTCTTCTGTCAGTTATGGCTGCAATGTTTTTTGGTCTACCTGACCTTGGCTTGGTATCAAGAGATCCCAGAACTTTCCACTTCTTAATAGGGGATTTAACAGTACTGATTGGCATATTCAAGGCTTTGGCCATTTTTTTATGTCCTTTTCCATCCTTATTAAGTTCCATTATCTTGTGTCCACACTTACAAATAAGGGGCTTATTTTGTATCCTGGCAGGTCATTGGATCTTCCCGGTAAATGGCTGTGCAGGGGATGTATCAGCACAAATCTGATCATTGGAGGACAAGAAGGCTGTTCTCCCAGCACAGCCAGCAATATTACCACACTGAGATGGGTGTGCTCTCATGCCTAACATGCTCGGTTTGAAAATAGGAAAGCAGGGTAACTGGCAGGAACACCAGGTATTTCACACAAAGGAATCAATACAAAGAGAACAGGATACTTTTTAATGCAAGTACATGGGACAACACATCTGGAATATGAAATGTTGGTTGTTCAGAGAGATTAGCTGGCCTCTGAGTCCTTCAGGGTGACTGAGAGCCATTCTCTGAGAGCCTAAGAGCACCTACTGCAGAAGTAGATAAAGAAGAAGGTTTGGATTCAGCTGACCTTTCTCAGGACCAATCTGTACTTGTTCATCTTCAAAAGAGTGCAGAAGTGATATATAGGTGGCCTAATAGGCCCCAGATGTCACCCTAAAAAGAACATGTCACTATGCTATCATATAGGAGACTACAAAAGTTAAAATGTGATAAAATAAATAAAAAAACAAAAATTGTAAGGCCCCATGGGCATATGAATGCAGCTGTCCACACAAAGGGTATAGTAATTGTGCCACACATACTAGGTATCACCGTGCACGCAAACAAAAGGTCCCGGCCATTATTCACCGTTAACTCTAAATGGATGGCCTGTAAAGGCTTTCAAAACATCTAAAGACAATTTTAGGTACTGTAGTTTTTTACTGTTTCATGGGAGTGTACAGATTTAAGGCTTGACATATTTGGTATCTATTTTACTGTTAACTTAGTTTGTGTGCACTAAAATTGAGTGCATTTTTAACTGGAATATGGGTCTGATAAACCGTTGTGCTAATATAGTGTGACATAAAATATTTGCAGCTGTCACTATTTTATCCTACAGGGTCTATGTTTTCAGAAAATATATAACTTTGGGGGTTTAATTGAAACATTACCCCATAACAACTTGATGAAAAAAAAAATCATTTTCTTTAGCAAGAAACATACATTCCACATTAATAATTATGCTATCAAAATTAGTGCGTGCTGTAAATTGCTTCCATGATTGCTCCTGTTTCTTGCTGGAGGCTGCCATGTTGCTGAAGCCCAGAGCCACTGAGCTGCAGTAAATCTTTAGGCTGTCAGCAGATCAACCTGAAGTGACTCTGATTTTTGGCACAGTGACAAAAAATAGGGAGCAACTGAGCATGTGCAGAGCACAGTGAGACAGTGTATTACTGGATTTTAAACAGTATAGGTACTTATTTTTAATGTTTTACATAGCTATACCTGCAAAAGGTAGCCAGCCTGAAGTGATCTAGCATAAATTAATTGTCTGACTAATGTTTCACTTTAAGTGGTTGCAAAGGCTCAAAGTTTTTACCTTCATGCATTCCATGTGCAGTATCCCCCCTAATACTCACCTAAGCCTCCTCTTGATACAGCGATATGCACTGGAGTCTTGGCTATCCCGTGACTCCCTCTCCTCATTGGTTGAGACAGCAGCGGGAGCCATTGGCTCCCAATGCTGTCAATCACTGCCAGCGAGCCAATGAGGAGAGAGGGGGAGGGGGCCGATTCACAGCTATATGTGTGAATGGACACATGGAGCATCGGCTTGGGAGTACGCATGTTTTGGTGCCCCCACAGCAAGCTGCTTGATGTGGGGGCACCTGACAGGAGGGAGGTGCTAGGGTTGCCGGCGGGGGACCCAAGAAGAGGAGGATCCGGGCTGCTCTGTGCAAAACCACTGCACACAACAGGTAAGTATAGACATGTTTGTTATTTTTGTAAAAAAAAATGTAAGTGCTTAAAATCACTGTAAGTAATCTTTGACTCGAAAATGTGCATTTTGACATGTGGCAAATCAAACCCAGGTAAATTCTCCACAGCTAGTTACTTTTTCAGGAGGTTTCACTGTTGGGTTTACAGGTGGAAAACATAAGAAGTCACATTCGATATATAGAAATCCTGATCTGTCAGAGTATCACTACGAAGAAGTTCCTCGGAGCCACCTAGCAGAATCAGTGATGGTTTGTATGTTTTAAACTTACAAGTAAAACATGAAGAAATACAGAGGAAAGAGCATGTTACAGACTTCAGGAAGCAAACCCAGTGATCCCACATTTGAGTATCTTTCTGACATCTGACTGCAGGGGATCACATAGAACACAGATTATTGCCCCATATACACGTTTAGGATATCAGACGAATGATCGTCCATTTTTTTCTGCATTCTAGTCTCATATCAAAAGAGAAGAGGTTACTAAAGTTACAAAAATTCTTTGACAGAATAAAACTTCTGAAGAATGTAATGTATTTTTATTGTATTTTTGAATGACTACTGTACTGGTTAAATGAATATCGTATGATCAAAATTTTTGTGCTTGTCCCTTCTATATCTTTCGGACGATTGCTGTGAACAAACGATTAGATTTTCATACAATCGCTTTAAAAGCAGCATTTTTCATACGATATTCTGATCGTGTGTACGGGGCTTAAGATGGATTGTGTGGACGTTCTGATTTTGGTAGTAGCAGTGTCCTCTAGATAGCATTAGTGGTTTACTGATTATTGTGCATATGAAAAGACTGTAAAATCTACTCTCAGATCCTGGTGATTACACCTACTTGCATAGGCACAGTGGGGATAGGAGAGTGGAAAGCATATGGGGTACACCCATATGGTCAGCTGTATGCTTATTCACTGAACTAGGTCTAGACCTTGGTTCAAACCAAAACTCTACAGCTTGTGTGTGCAGCACTGACAGAAAGCACAGGATGTTATCAAGATTTCTAGCAGGACCACTAGGTAATTTTTGCATTTACTGGACAGATGTACATTGCTATATTTACAGACCCTAAGGGACCAAATAATAGATGTTAATAGTTAAAGTTTACGTACACTTCTGTAAGCTAGTGTTTTGCTTTGAGGCTTACTCAAAAATGCCAGTTTTGCCAACTTCCTTATACAGGCTGGGTTCTCTGAGGGAGAAGTGATGCAAACCATCCAATTCTCAAGCACCAATGCTATTAGTTGGCATTTCCTATCACTTACAGTCCAAACACTAAACATAAAATTAGCTGCGACTCTGCAGTTGGATGAATGGGAGCAAAGTATACATTTTTCTGTCTTCTGTATTAGGATTTTTCCTTCTGCTGTTTTATTTATTTCAGGTACTTACAGTATATAGCGCTGTCTATTTACGCAGCGCTTTACACAAATATATATTGTACATTCACATCAGTCCCTAACCCTCAAGGGACGTACAATCTAAGGTCCCTAACTCACATTCATACATACATATACTAGGGACAATTTATACAGAAGCCAATTAACCTACCAGCATGCCTTTGGAGTGTGGTAGAAAACCGGAGTACCCGGAGGAAACCCATGCAGGCACAGGGAGAACATGCAAACTCCAGGCAGGTGGTGCCGTGGCTGGGATTCGAACCGACGACCCTAGTACTGCCAGGCGGAAGTGCTAACCATTTAGCTACTGTGCTGCCCCATAAGAACATTCTGATCTGTCAGCTCACCTCATTGCTCATCCACCCATCCAGTTCTACAAACTGTTACAGTCATTATAGGCTGGTAAGGACTCCTGAACTCTTCCACCAGTAAAGTCCACAACGATCTAATATTAATTCAGACTCTGTGTTATGCTGTACTTTTGGGGCTCCAGAAATGTCTAAAATGAAATGTCAAAATGGCTTAACTAAAATGTGAGATTATTCCTTAAATAGGCAATTGGTAAGAATTTGTTGCTAGTTTTTCTAGTAAGAACGCATGTGGCTCCAGCCCTAAGCAAGGCTCTTTTCTCCACTGGTAAGGTTACCAAAGGTGAGGTCTTCCCAGAGAGGCCTTCAACCTTTGGAACACTTCACCTAAAGTTCTCATGAGACTGCCAACTTCTCAAGTTGCATCATGCTTTAATTCATCACTACAAAATCAGTCCTACAGATTAAACATAGCAATAGTGCAATATCCAATTTGAGGGCAAATTCTGTTGTGCCAAACCATGGACAAAGCGCTAATATTACCTTGCAATATAGGCTCCTGTCTTTTTTTAGGGGGCGGGGGGTTGCAGTGCCTGGATTTATTTATGTAGGTGAAAAGCAACCAGTGCCGATATCGTTATCTTGGTAGTGAAAGAGGGGGACTAGCTACTCCCAAATGACCTCTCTTATGAATACCTCCAAACTCCTGTGCTCCCCTCCGCACCAGAAATGTTTATGGTTTTTGATATCCGGTCTTCATTTGGATTATCAACCATTTCCAGTACATTTTGAATGTGCTACTTTATCCAAGATCTGTCTCCAAGGTATGAGGATTCATAATTTTCTTGGCAATGTTTACTTCATGGCCTTTGAATCTCATATTTGATCACACAGCCAGCAAAATCTGAACAGTCCTGATTAATTAATCAAAGCCATATCATCTCTTGATAGTAACCAGTGGGTCCACAGGCTCTTTCC